CTTCAAGTGAATGAGTTCAGAGATCTCTACTTCTGTGGTGAGCAGTATCCAAATGTTACAGCATCTGTGGGAGATGCAGGCAGTTGTCCCCCCAATATTGCAGGAGAAATGTAAGTCTCTAATTCACAGTGGTTCTGGGGCCTGAATTGTGATGGTTTGCTTAAAGAGAAGTCTGACTGTTTCACATTTTTATATTATTCACAAAATAGCCACTCACAGGCTAGTCTCAATAACATGTCTCAAAATAACGTGTTTTAGGATTTCATAGTAAAACTTCACAATTACCTGCGAGTGAAGTAGGGATGAAACTTTACTCCTAAAACCAGGCAGATTAGTTAAATTAAATGTTGTTTTTGATAACGTAGCCCTGGCTTATCAATTTTCTTAAACAAAGCCAGGGTCACTTAGCAATGGAAATGCAATGTGTGGACAGCTACAAAGTTGTTGGGAAGCAGTAGACCTGTGATCAGAAACATGCCTGCCCCTCAGGGCTTGTTTGTAAACATTAACCTCCCTGCAGATACAGCAGAGAGCCAAGGTATCTATCTCCCAGTGCTACTGCCCCTTTTGAAATACTCTTGACTATTGATGCCTTAAGTTGTAGCAATGCAAGTATTTCTTGACACATGCTAGAGGGCTGGCAAACTGAGGTTATAGCAGAAAACAGCACTAGAGCTCTGTTTCCACAGGTTTTGGACCCCAACCCCTTGCTAAGAACCTCCAGTGATTGCTGTGTGAAATTAATGCTTTTGTACTTACCATGGTTTAGTGTGGTTCTGAGGCTTACTTGTCAAGTGCCAGCCATCTGTAAACAACAATTGGGATACTACTGAAAAATCACGAGAACTGCAGATCTCTATTTGTCCCTTAAGCTTTTTTTTCATGATAGGTTATAAAGTTGCTCTATTTCTGACACTTGTTTTGTAGAAGAGTTGAGAGTAGAAGAATCTTTGTGGAACGGGAATAAAAGTAACTACCTGGGGGCTGGCATCACGTAGTAATACCAGCTTTTGCCCTATGCTTTTCTGCAGATGTTCTGGTGAAGCATACCTGTGCAGCCAAGGAATCGCACCTACCAACTATGCAATGTGGGAAAACATAGTGGCTCTCTTATGCATGACTCTTATCTTCCTTATCATTGCCTATGGAAAACTCCGGTTTATGAGAAAGTTCACGTAGACTCCTGCGCTGCCTTGCTCTGCAGCTTCTCCGGTTTTAAAACTGTAAAGCTTGTTGGGGCCTACTGGAGAGTGCCAAAAGATTTCATCTAACTTGACTGGACTTCAGATGGGAACCCTGTCCCTTTGTTTCTGGAGCATGATCTCCACTTGATTGTATGATTTTGGTTTTTAAGAAGAAATGCATTAATGTACATTGCATAAGTGATTTTTTTGTAAGAGAATATAATTTTTGTAATTCCTTAGGTATATATCTATATGTTGTAAAGCATTACTATTCTGTGGCCACCTTATACAGGAAATGTTCAAATGGAAACATTTTCCTTTGAACATGTGAGCTTCTCCATCACAGATGGTGTAAGGTGATGGTAACACTTACACATTGATAAGTTGACCCTTGTTAGTGCCCATCACATCTAAGGAAAGCCAGAGACCATTCACAGAGGGTTGGAGATGCATTTAAGTTTGAAGTCAGTACACGAAGTGAGTGTTCCTTGCCAAGCAAGAACAGTTATACTTCTAGTAGCTTTTAAATGGAAGCTACTTGCAGAAACAACTTTAGCTTGATTAAAAACTAAACAGCAGTAGTGTAAGACATACAGCAGTAGAGTAAGAAATACACTGTTGTACTGTAAAAAACCCAAACCAAACACAACCCTCCAAAAAACCCACCAGTTGCAACAAATATATTTACTACTTGAGGGGAGGGAATTACCTTTTTAAAAAAAAAAAAAATAAAAATGTGTATGCTTAGCAGTGGCAGAATTTTTAACAGACTTCATGCTTAGCTGTACCACCTACATGCAGTGCTTACACTATGGACTGAAA